TTCCGTTGAGCACGAAATTACCTGGGGTGAACTCAGTGAATAATCAATAGAATAACAAAAAACACATGGCTGAAATGTACTGATGAATGATTTTAATTGTTTTGCAGCCGTTCATGCCACTGCGGGATGTGTTCGAAAGCAGTTTCGATAGTGATATTGACTTGGTTGGCAGGACAAAGGAGACTACCGATCATCTCAAGGCACGAGTCGTTGAGGTGAAACACTTGTTCTAACTTGCTTCAACTGCATCCTTTAAATTTTCTGACCTTTTTTGGTAGATATTGTAGCCCCAATTAAGCCTCTACACACCATAAGGCAGCGTTCAGACTTCGCGACGGCAGCGCTTCGGTCGCGCGTTCGACGCGATCGATGCAGTTGAAAGCATGCGCATCGATCGCGTCGAACGCGCGACCGAGGCGCTGCCATCGCGAAGTCTGAACGCGGTCCAATGTGTTTTTAGCCGGTAATCCTTGTCGGCGGTACTGCTGAACAATGCCGCCCCTAACCTGTGTTCCTTCGATGGTTTTCAGTTTTTCTTAGCGAAAATGATCTGAATAATGGCGCTAAAATAGTTAGGGGCATTGCGAGAATGCGCCGACCCTGGTCCAGGGCACATCACTGGTTGGGGATTTCGGTCGAGTCCCTACGATCCCCTCTTTTTTTTTGCGGGGGGAGCGGGAAGGGGGGGGGGGTAAATAGTACACACATGAAACAGGAAAGTCACGAAACGTCAATCACCTCTCCCGGAGGACCAGAAGGTAAACAGAACGTATATATGACTCCCCCCGCAACAACGAGCAAGTACGACCCCCATTCTTTCACAACGTCCGGGGTAAATAGTACACATGAAACATGAAAGTCACGAAGTCCAAAAATTCATTTTGATAGCTGATTTTTCTCAGCCCAATACGACCACCCTTTCCCGGCGACCAAATGCGACCATCCTGTTGGGGATTCCCCAACAACGACGCGCCCTTCCCTAGCCGTCCATACAGAGGTACACCAATGGGGTGGGTGAGATGGTGATGTCAGTACGATTCCCAAATTTTCTCTTCCAGTGCTATCCCGCACTCACAGCCTACCTACCTTTTCACCGAATTGTTCCTACTCCAGAACACTTTCTTTAAAACTTTACCAATTTCTCGACAAAAGCTGGCTGACTTGAAATAAAAACTCGAACGGGGAGTACCCTCCAGCTCGGCTCGAAAAATTTTCCCTTCAAGCCAGAGTATGATCCCTTCTTCCCCTACAATAAAATACACCCCCTTGATGGCCCAATGATGCTGTACCGTTCGTCTCCACTCTGGTAAGCTTGAGCTCAAGGGAATCGCCGACGTCACTAACAAGTGGCCCTTCCAAGTGTTGTATCCTAGTGATTCGATCAGATCAAGACGAATCTTTGTTCTTTGGAATTTACTTTTTTGGCTTTTGGCGTCATTTTTGAAGGACCGTTAACAGTAATTTGTGAGGTACAGTAAAATCAACTTGAAGTGCTTCTCAATGAAATCACTCTAGGCGCTCGATGCCTCGACGTAAGGAACACGACATCCAGCGTGGTGCCTTGAAGCTGGAATGGTCCAAACTTACCAAATCATTGGTGAGTTAAAAACCACAGCTCCAGTGGCTACAGTTTTCGACACAGTTCAGCTTGGAGGGGCATTTTCGTGGTTCCTGTCGATCACCGTCGATGCCTTTCGTAGATACCGTAAATTCTTAGACCTCATTGCACGGTTAGGCGCATCCATTGCATTTGACAGGAGTTACAGTAGCTGCATCTAGGTGTGATGCGAGTTTTTAAGCTAAGACTGTAAATGGTAGGCAGACCGAAATTATAAATGCCCTCCCAGCCGGGGTTGTGTCGCCCTTAATATTGCGTTTCCTTTCATCACTGCATTTAGCCGCATATATTGATAAGCTGCGGAGAGAATTAGTAAGCTTTGTGTTTGCACGACTGCGAAACATGTGCTCGAAAATCCGAGTGCTACATTGAACTTCGCAGAGGGCGGTCGTAAGACCGAGAAATTTCTTACGAGGGATCGTCACCTGAATCTCGCCCTTCAATGAGCAGGATTCCCATGAACGACGTCCGTGAAATGGAAGAAGAACCGAATCGAAGAAGAGGCAATACAATAAGTTGATATTAAAATCCCCGATATTGTCGGGGACGGGATGTTTTCTTTTACACAAAGTCTATCTCATTCTTTCTTCTGATGACTTTTAATCTCTGCGACTTCTTGATGAATTCTTTAGTTGCGCGGTTTTTTTTATGTTATTATGAGTTTGTCATTCCGATTCATGTAACAGTCGAGCCGAGGTATGGGCAAAATCTTTTCACTGAGCGAGACTCGGGTCAGGAAATCGTCTGGGCAGCGCTTCCCTTGCTCAGATCTTGGCTCGACCACGAGCATCGTAGTCTTAGTACTTCAATTTTTGTTTTGTAATATTAAATAGCAAACGAGATTCATTCTAACTGTTCCTTTTTAGAAAGCTGAAGCCGAAAAGCAACTCGCTATCAGCTCTGCCGAACTGAGACGGAAACGGAAGGAACTGGAGAACGCAAAGGTTTTAGTTCCTATTTTTCGTACTTCTGCCCTCCTTTTCCTAGAATTTTAGTGATTTTTCTAAAAGTCTATGATCTTGGTTGACTAATCATCATCGGAGTCTAATTTGGGGCCGTATTTTTGGGCCCATATTTGATCCTAGGGTTGGAGTCACATTTGTATTGTTGGGAAAAATTCGAAATCATTCAAGAACCTTATAAGCTCTCAAAATATGGTGACTGCCAAATTAGGGATTTTACCGTATCCGGTGTGTACTCCTCCCAACCGGCTGAGAATTTCATTTCCTTGGGAAATAGAGGGAGAAAGGGCAGGTTAAGTTGAATGAAAGTTGAAGGGGGTCGTACTTGAAACTGAAGTGGGTGGCAAGCGGCCATTGTGCTGAATGGCCAACATTCCTCAGCGCTCATTATTAACACATGCAGAACGCATAATTGCCTCACGGATTTCTCCGCATAAAATCACCCCATTCCAGCGGATTTCACCCCTCCGCCACAGGGGCCACACTGAATCCATGGAATTTCTTCCAAGGAAGTTCACCTTAGTTTGATTTGGTAAAAATCGCCTACTCAACAGCTCTCTCGTCAGCGTTTTCAGTGTTTTCCTCTATACCATCTTACACACCTGCCTAGCAGGATGGTTCAAGGCGCCATAATGTCACCCAATCAGTCATGGGAAAACACACCATTCTGCAGTCATTTAGGAATTTTTCTTTTCGTAAAGTAGAATTTATACCTATCAGACCTTTGACCAACTTGCACAGATGCTTCGGATGAAGGTACCGAGTGCTTGGTGCTTATTTTGGTCCGGCGCCATTGTGTGGAGCTTCTTTCTCTCCTTCAGAAATCGTTTTCCTCCTTTATTAGCACAGGGAACGGATAGGCAGATATTTCCACTATTCAGTTTTCGTCTAAAGAACGAAATCCCGGATCGGCTTCTGCCCAGGCCAACCATGCCTTCTACCCTCAGGGACGGTAAATTGGTAGTTTTGTGTAATGGTAAAAACACTGACTTCTGATCGAAAGTGGAATGT